CAAGTACGAAAGAGGTTTGCTGTGCCCTAGAAAAATATTTCAGTTAATATAGTCGTCCAAGACGAATTATTACAGATAGAGGGTCGTGTTTTACTTCACTTGATTTCAGTAAATTCCTTTTTAAAAGAAACATAAACCATGTAAAAGTCGCAGTAGCATCTCCACAAGCCAATGGTCAAGTAGAACGGGTTAATCGTGTTGTGAAAGCCACGTTAAGTAAATTAACCGACTCGACAGAACACTCTGATTGGTAGAAGTAGAATACGCCATAAACAATACGGTTCATAGCACAACCAAATACACACCTAGTGAGCTACTTTTCGGCGTGACCCAGCGGGGCTGCATAGTAGATGGTTTGATTGAATTCTTAGAAGATAAGATACTGCAGGATACCCCTAGGGATTTAGAGAAAATATGAGAGGATGCCCTAAGAAAAATAGAAAAGTCCCAAGAATACAGTTTGCGATATTTCCATAGAAACAGTATGCCTGCAAAGAAATATTCAGTCGGGGAATTCGTAGTAATTAGACATGTTGATACTTCGGTCGAGAAAAATAAGAAACTTATCCAGAAATACCGCGGCCCCTATGTGATACATAAAGTGTTGCCTAATGATCGGTACGTAATAAGAGACGTTGACAATTGTCAGCTAACTCAACTGCCCTATGACGGAGTGGTTGAGGTTATTAAAATTCGGAAATGGCTGTCACCAATTTGTACTGACAACGAGTCCCCTCAGTCATTGTCATGCATAGGCCACACTGCTTCATAAATTATTTCTAGACTATTGATTGAGGCCAATCAAATTTGTCAGGTTGGTCGAGATGAAAACATTAAGTTAATTATAAGTTATCTGAACCACCCATTGTATAATAGAAATGAATTGTATGTATATGAAGTACCCGGTGACCTGTCAAAAAAAAGAGCCGGTAACCATTTTGTAAAACATCCGACATTATTCACTTTGCTTTTTAGCAAGCGATAAGAACAAAACGTGTAATTATTATAATATACCAATTAAAATAATAAATTTGAAATCAGCAATGATATTTTTATTTATGCTTGTATAAGTTTATTAAATTTAAGACTCCGCTCATTCCCAACCCAATTTGAATAATTTTTTGTAAATTAACAATATTAATTTTTTCTAAAAATTTATTTTATTTTTATAATATAACACAACCGTCTTAATACTCGCTCTTCTAAATTTCATATTACCAAAATAAAAATGCCGTCAGCATATGTGCAAATGGGATATGTTGCACTGCCAAACGGTATATGGCAAACTAGATAGTATTCTATATCTAGTAAGCTATGAGCAATGTGGAGTCTCCATAGGCAATCGGACCGGCAATGGAGATAGTATTCTATAAATTCTATCCTGTCGGGATGCCCCGTAATATATCTTTGTTCTCCGTATGGCAACCTTTTTCCTTTCACGCTAACCTAGAAGCAGAGAAAATTATCCCTGCTAGAAGTAAACAGCTGCGACGTCAGTGCACTTGGTGATAAATAGGATACTATCAATAATTTTGTTTGTTAATTGTTAAGTCTGAGTTCAACTTAAAATAAATAATGAGTAGAAATCACAAAGAGGATCAAGCGAATGAAATAGAGGCGCTTGAATCTATATATTACAGTGAAATGGAAGGTTTGTACATGCGTTTGAACCAGAGATTCGTATAGCAACAAATGACATATTTGTTTTCCATTTCAGTACTGGAAACAGAACCTAATCACAAATTCAGCATAACCATTGGCACTGAAGAGTATAATTCCGAAGAGGAGTCAGGTGGTATGGCATGCAAACTCGTCTTTACGTATACTCCTACTTACCCAGACGAAGCACCCGAAGTGGCAATAGAAGATCCTGTAAATATAGAAGAACTTTATGAAGAAAAACTACTTGAACACCTCAAAAAAACAATCGACGAAAATATAGGGATGGAAATGGTTTTTACATTAGTTAGTAGCGCACAGGAATGGTTGAACGAACGGTGGGACGATTACAAGCTGCATGAGGAAGAAGAACGCTCACGGAAGCTTCTTGAGGCAGAAGAAGCTGAGCGAAAGAAATTCGAAGGAACTCGTGTAACTGTCGAATCGTTTCTTAAATGGAGAGCAGAATTCGAAGAAAGCACAGGTATAACGGCTAAACGAGAAAAGAACAACGACAGCAAAAAACTGACCGGCAAAGAATTATTTATGCGCGACACCACTCTCAACGATTCTGATATTAAATTCTTACTTGAAGCTGGTGACACAATTGAAAATGTAAAAATAGATGAAACCCTTTTTCAAGATATTGGCGACTTGGAATTGGGTGATGACGATGATTCCGACGATGAGGATTGGGTGCCAGGCGTCGATGATTAAGTTAAAAACTTTTACACTTATTCATATTTGTTAGTTAAAATTGAGTCGTTTATAATTTCTTACACATTTATAAAATAGATAAGGTATGCGAAAAATATACACAAAACTCTATAAAATTAGGAGAGAAATTCTATTTATGGGGAAGCATTCACTTTAGAAACTTGTTTTCTTTTTGCTTGAGATCGCTGTTATTACTTAGTCCAAATGATTTTTATTGTCACTAATGTCAGCGAGCCTCAAGCCGTTGTTTACAGTTTCAATGTCATCCAAGTTAAATTCATCATCTGACTCTGAACCTTTTCTTTGACTGTTGAAGACACTTTTAGATTCATTTGGCTTCAGTGCTGGTGGCAATTTTTCTCGGGGAAAATCAAGTTTTTGCCATGATCCAGGTTCTGCTTTTGGCATAGTTATCTCAACTTTAGTCGCAAACATATGAGCACTAGTTTTATTTACATCAATGATCTGCATTTTATATTGTTTATTAGACATAACTCTAATTTAATGTAGACAAACTTACGCCGCGTAATTCTATTTCCAAGTCGAATTTTGCGTCATCCTGTTCAGGAAATACAAGATTCACGTGAAGGCGGATTGGATTTACTTCTATCTTGCTACTCTTATAATTATATTTCTTGGCATATATGGAAACAATGACGTTCGTTGGAGTTTGATGCCAATCGTACCGGCAATTAACCACTTGCTTGTCTTCCTCCTTTGAAAAAAAAAAAAACAAAAGTATTAAGAAAAAGAATTTTACTTTGAAGTTTTCGCACTTACCTCCTTGAACCATTTATGCTCCCCGCATGCACAGCCCTTCTGTGCCATAAACACAGAAAAATCACTTGTTTTTCGTTGGCAACATGACCAATACTTCATACCTTCGTGGAAAATAGGAACGCCAGGATGATATACACATTTTGCATGATCAGTAGCAGTACCGCTATACGAGTAAGTGCAGCCTTTATTTTTACAAGAAGTACCAATTGATATTGCGCTGAAAAATAAATAAACGATAAATATTTTACGATGTTCAAGTAGCAGATTTGTGTATTTTTTTATTTTTATTTTGTTACCCAGAAGCTAAATCGTTGTCTTCCTTAACGTTAACAGTGTCTACTTTAAGTGTATCTATGGTATCTTTCAACGCTTGTGCAACTGTTGGTTTTATTGTAGTCATTGGAGATTCAATAGGTGGTCGCTGCATTGATTTTCTAATTGGCGCACGGACATCTACAACCACACTCGTATCATCTTCATTCTTTTCTGGCTTTTCAGGTTCCGGCGGTTTAATATTCGAGTGTTTCGATAGCGTACATCCTTTAATGCTTAAAAATTCAGTAAAATCTACCGATTTTTTGTTGCAACATGACCAACCCTTGTATGCGTCATGGAAGTAAGGTGCTCCAGGATGATGGCAGCAAGATTCTGAAATGTTTTTTAAATGAAATATTTTTTAAATAAAAACTCTTTATTTGCTTTGAATTCCAGAAAGTTCTTGTGAATATATTTACCATCGGAATTATTTTCTGGGTCAAAAGTTTTCCCACAACCACGATTATAACATCGTTCCATTATTGTGTGTTTTTATTTTTTAAGCAGTTTGAATTTTAATTTATTACAATTTAGACGAAAAATATGCGCTATTTACCGAGTTAATTCGGCACACAATTTACATTTTAGAAATGCAATTCTTATTATGTCGGCTATTACACGAAGCAACTTTTGTTGCTGATTCTCGGGCGATTCTCTTTTGCTGTTGCCHAYTRCATTCACACGAGCAACTTGTGTTGCGCAACTCTGTTCGAGGTTTTTTCTCATTCTCTTTCACTTTACTWTARCCCATTGTCGTTTCTTTTTCCTTATAGGTATTTGGGCCACTCTATCACATATATTAATCAGTACTGTCAATTAAGAAATACATTTTATTTATAATTCAAAGTTAGAGCAAAGGTTATATAAGAGATCTTCACTATCGTCTGAATCAATTTGTATGGCTTCCTCCATACATTTCACAATATCTTTAATTAATTCGATTTTTTCGTCGTACTCCATTTTCTAAAATATTTATATTATATTATGTATATTTGTATATATATTTGCAAATTACGTACCAAAAGATGAAATTAAATTTTTTAAATATATTCAAAATATTAGTTTCAAAATAATATACGCAAATGCAACTATGTACTATGAATGAAAGAACACGAGTGCAGAAAAACGTCGCAGCGAACTGTTACGAATAAGAACACAAAGCGGGTTGCTGAACACTGGAAACTCGGCGCGATTCTCCTTTCCTCGTCGCCCCCTCGCCAATAAACCAAGAGTTGCCGCAACAAAAGTTGCTTCGTGTAATAGCCGACTATGAAGTTTTAAACGTCAGTTTAGTAACTTTGTAAATTAGTGATAACATATTGTTACTTCTTGTGTGCAAAAAATGCTAATATTACCATTTATCACCATTTACGTCAAATCGTATATGTGATATCCAAAAAGTTTTGCGCATAATAGCCCTGATAGACGAGCAAAATTAAAGCGCCTTAAGCAACGCTAATGTGCATTGAAATTTTATGGTGACAGACGGAGGACTGGTCTATTTAGACAGCTGAAAGTAAAATTTGTTTATTTATTAAAAAAAAAATAAATTAAAATGAATATAATAAATTATTAACCCTTTCATGTCATTTGTTGCTTATAGACAACATTGCATATTTCTGTCGATACTCCTCGAAATATCAATATTTTTACAATCCGTATTTTCTCGTCTCTAACGGATATCTGCGAGCACTAGTTTGCGAAGTTTGATGACGATAGCTTAACGTTATCTATGGCTTAACAGGTGTTCATTTGATAACTAGCTAAAGTTGCGTAAAAACTTGTGAAAAGAAAGTAACAAAAATAAGCTTTGAAAAAGTTAAATAAAAAGTAAACTGACTGCCATTTCTTTATACAAAGTGGTTTATTTTATAAATAACAAGTAAGAAAATGAAATAAAATTTACAGAACACAATTGTGTGTAATATTGTGATTCCAGGAATTTTATAAACACAATATTGCTTATAAGCAACATTTGTCCAAAGTAACAATTTTTTTTTCTTTTAGATATGCGTCCCAGAGGACTTAGAGAATCAGAAATAAAAAAAATTATCAATTTTGACTCGAATAATCCTGAAGATGAGAATGAAGAAGAAGACGAGGAATAGAATTTGGATAGAATCATTGAAGAAACAATTGAAGAGGTGATAAAAAAGGGAGAAAACGTGGAAATGAATTTGATAAATGAAATCATTGAAGGCGGTGGAAATGCGGATGAAGTTGAAAATGAAGTGCTCACAGAAAAAATTGTCAGTGAAACGTATGAGAAAATTAACCTGGATAGTTTGAGATGAAGGTCAGCATGCCTACCAGATTGCGAAACTGTTTGGAAAGATGAAACAATTTGTCAAGAAGTCAAAGATCCTATAAACTACTTCAATGGTTTCTTCGATGATGAAATCATAACGAAGATTTGTAGCGTAACAAATCTTTATTCTATGCAAAGGAATGGCGTAGAGCTTCATTGTGCACCTTTCGGAATCAGACGATTTATTGGCATACTTCTTTATTTGGGCGTGATACTAGTTCCAAATATGCGAATGGCTTGGACGCCAAACTTCAAATTATGAGCTGTTGCGGATTCTTTATTCAGAACACGCTTTGAGAAAATCAAAGGAGCCTTTCACCTAAATGATAGCACAAAACAGCTGCAACCAATATCACCCCATTACGACAAGCTATATAAAATACGTCCATTATTGGCCAAACTGAAGGAGAAATGCAACAAATTACAGCAGGAAAAACATCAGAGAATAGATGAACAGATGATAAAATTTAAGGGACGTCACAGTCTAAAAAATACTTACCCATGAAACCCATAAATGGGGTTTTAAAATGTTTACAAGAGCTGGAATTTCAGGCATCGTATACGATTTTGCTCTCTATGTTGGAGACGGAACATGTCCATCTTTCGGATTGAGTATTTCGTCAGATATTGTGTTGCATTTGGCTAGTAATGTGCATAGAGACAAAAATTATAAGTTATTTTTCGATAATTGGTTTTCTTCCATAAGCCTGATGATTGCACTCATAGAACGAGGTATTTTAGCAGCAGCAACAATACGAGGCAATCGGATTAAAAACTGTAGCCTTATGAATGAAAATGACCTCATGAAAAAAGGTCGGGGATCATACGACTTCAAGTATGAAGCTGTACATAATATAGCTGAATGTCGCTGGTACGATAACAAAGGTGTGCAACTTTTGTCAAATTATATAGYTGAAAATCCGGTTTCACAATGCAKACGCTGGTGTCGTAAACAAAAAAAGTACATAGATGTACCTAGACCGGCTGTTGTTGACTATTATAACAAGCACATGGGAGGTGTAGACTTGGCTGACATGTTGTTAAACTTATATAAAATCAACCACCGTTCTGAGAAATGGTATATGCGCATAGTTTACTGGTGCATCAGCACAGTGGTAGTCAATAGCTGGTTGCTGTATAGACGAGACCTAAAAAATCAAGTCACACGAACGAAATATATGACATTGCTGGATTTTCAATTATCTATAGCAAACGAGCTTCTTCACGCGTCTAATATTATGTCAATAAACCCACGTAAAAGAGGTCGTCCATCGGCAATACCTGAAAGAATGGAACCAGGTTCATCTTCACGTGTCAGAAATTTCCCTACGTCGTCAAAGCCGAAGTCGATGCGTCTTGATCAAACCGGTCATTGGGTTGAATGGGGAGGAAAAGGAAGGCGTAGATTATGCATGACTGGTATTCCAAAATCTAAATGCTCATAATGTTAGGTGCACTTATGCTGTAACCCACAGAAAAACTGTTTAGTCTCATATCACACATGAAATGTATGAAAAGTATTAAAAAAAAAATGAAAACTATCAATATTTGTATGTGTTTGATTGTATACTATCATGGCTCAATGTTGCTTATAAGCAACATCTTATAACTCAAAAACCAGAAGAGATACAGGTTTGAAATTGATATCGTTTCATATTCAAGGCTCAAATAGTATCCCCATATACTCAAAATGTTTTTAAATAGGCCCAGTTTAATTATGACATGAAAGGGTTAATAGAAATGTTAGCATTTTTGGAGAATCCTTATACGCTCAAAGATAATAGAGTGAAATTGAAAGCAATAATTGATTATAATGCGGAAAAAGTGTTCGAAAAATTAAGAATATTGGAAAAATGGATAGCAAACTGTGAGTTGTTTATTTTCCGTCATCTAAAAATTTTAAAAGTTGTTTTTGTTAATATGCTTGCACATAATTTAATTAGCAATATAAAACTGCTTACCTCTGATGCTGTAAACGCAAGGGAGGCAGCAGACTTCAAGCGCCATCTGTCAAAAAATAGCAAAAATCAGCCATTTTTGAGCAGTGCTGCCTACTCTAATTTGGTAAATTCAGGTAAATGCACGAACCTCTGCTGATGGTAGGCACCTTGCCGCGGTGCAGATGCTTAGTCGAAAGGCATACTCGGCACCCCTCAACCGGTGTGGGTTGTGCTGACTAGCACCGCCCTGACATGCTGTCGGGCGCCGCATGCGTGCGGCAACCAAGTACTACCACCTCCTAATCCAGAGTATCATGCGACCCCTGCCCATTGGATGATTTGCAGCCAGGAGGAACATTCGGCTGTATTCTAACGGAGCTTTCCCAACACCGGGCCAAGTTGGGCTGTAACTGTGGCCTTACCGCGCCAAGGGGCTCAGGCGCGGCGGACCTACTGGTTCCCCATTAAAACAAGAAAACCCGACAGCCCACCCCGCGAGCCAAGGGTCGTACGAACAAGATGAATCCACCAAATACAAATAAACCAACAACAACAACTACTAACACAGGCGAATCGACAAGGCAACGTACAAGGACAATGGCTACGGAACATGATAAGGCAATGGAGAAGGCAGGCGGCGCAGCTGTAGGCAGGGGAGATCAAGGAGCTAAGCATAAGTTCAGCGACCATCTCTCGCCAGAAGAGAATCCCTGGCCAAGGGGAGATATGCAGATACTGGGACATCCCCGACAAAGGAGTGTGGCAAGACTACGTCTGTGTGTGCGCAAGGCAGCCGGTCTATGGACCATGATCAGGTTGGTGTTTCACTGACCGATATGCGGGGTGACGGGAAGCACTCACCTATGCACAGACCGCAAAGCGGAAGAGCGGGCAGCTCACACCACAGGAGCCCCCAGTTCCAAAAGGCTGAGAGACGGCGGCACGAGAGCGACCGGAGGCCAGCCATCAGCACCGGTTCCCCCCCCGGGTGGAGGAGGGACGGCGCAGGTATGCGGATGCTCTCAAAGGCATCCGCATGACTGTACTGCCTCAAAACTATCCGGCGGAGTCGCTGGAGTCGGAGAAGTTCACGGTGCTTCAAAATCTCCTCTTGGAAGAAGTATTCAGAAGCGATGAATACGTTCGTCCTTCCTTGGGGTATAATTCAGAGGTGGCATGCTACAGGTGGACTGTATGGACGAGTTGTCCGCCAACTGGCTGCGGGAACTTGCCCCAAAGCTAGGAGGCTGGACCGATTCTGTCCTCTGTGCAAAAAGGGCGAAGGATCTGCCTGTCATGCACAGGATGACAATGTTCCTCCCCCGCAGCGATGACAAGCCGTACGAGTTTGCCTTGGGTCTGATTAATTACCAGAACCGGGGCCTCTGCATCGCTGCCTGGCGCGTCGTCAACAGCCAGTTAGAGGAAAAAGGTGACCTACGAGTATGGAGATTGTACCTGTACGTCGATGACGAGTCGTCCGTGCTGCAAGCTTCCGCCTGTTTTACAGGTTCAGCATGGTGGTCATGCGGCCGCACAAACCCGTGACCACAGGGAGCAAGGAAGCAGGGAAGGCTGTCACTCAGCCGAGCGGCAGCGGGTCCAAACAGGACACAACAGTGGCAAACAAGGTAGTGGAGAGGATGCAGGTGAACGAGGTGGCAAAACAACCGAGCGTGAGCGCTGAGCAGACTACGCTAGCCGCAACCGTTGACGCCCCGGTTGCCCAGGAAGCCGGGTTACCCTCCACCCAAGAACTCCTCGAGGGATTAGGCGACCATATGGACAGCAGCGCGAACAACGGAGGAGATGTGGACATGCCCCCCTTCGAGCCACTACTTTAATTGCCGTCGACGTGGAAATTGCCCAAGTGAACCTGCATCACGCGGCGGGAGCCTCGGCAGTCATAACGCGCTGTTTCACAACGGATAAGTTGGGCATTTTGCTGATCCAGGAACCTTGGGTCTATAAAGGTGAGGTCAAAGGCCTTAAGACGGTACACAACAAGGTAATCTGGGAAGGCAGAGACTTCGTCCTGGCATCAGCCTACTTCCCAGGGGAGGCAGCAGCAGCACCCGCTGAAGTGGTGGTAAGGCTAGTGGAGTTCTGCAAGAGGCTGCCCCTCATTATCGGATGCGACGCGAACGCTCACCATGTGGAATGGGCAACACAAGGGGTGAGTCTCTATTAGAATATGTATTAGGTAGTAACTTAGCTATTGAAATGTGGGCTGCGAACCCACCTTTATAATTATAAGCAGGAGGGAGGTGCTGGACTGGAGGGAGGTGCTGGGGAGAGGCAGATCGATGATATCGTTACGGGCCCGGGAATAGAGAGCAGAGTGTTGGCACTGAACGGGTCTATCACTAAAGCTTACAACGGTACCTGCTCCCTAAAAGTGCTGTGCAGATAGGCGCAACTATCCCTGGTGGACAAAGAAGCTTGCAGACCTCAGGAAAAGGGTACATAGCCTATTCAACAAGGCAAAACGTACAAGGGTCTGGGAAGAATACAGGAACTACCTAACCCTCCGCAATAAGGAGATTAGGTCAGCAAAACAAGCTAGCGTAAGGAGTTTCTGTGAAAAGGTCTCCTCCACACCAGAAGCGGCGCGGCTGCCATCAAAAGAAGTGACGGGACTTTTACGACCAGCGCGGAGGACAGGGCGACAGAGCTTCTGCGCGCTCACTTCCCGGTAGACCAATGTATACCGGGAGAATGTAGAAAACACAGGCCATCCCGCTTGGATTGGGTAACCGCTAGGCAATTAGTTACTGGCCATATCCTACAGGCCGATTAGTCTAACATCCTTCCTACTGAAGACTATGGAAAAGATTATAGACCACAATATAAGGTCGACGGCGCTGAAGGCTGCACCCCTGCATGCTGCTCAGCATGCATACAGAGCGGGAAGATCCATCAGTATGGCTCTGTACCAGTTGACCTCGGAGTTAGAGAGCTCACTGGAGAAAGGGGAGGTGATGATATGTGCCTTCCTAGACATCGAAGGTGCCTTCGACAACACATCTCCCAGGAGTGTAGCCAGGGCGATAGAGAGAAGAAATGTGGCAGCACCGGTGCGCAGATGGATAGAGGCCGTGCTGCGCACAAGGATCGCCGAGACCGGGGTAGGTGAAACAAAGATCCGTCTGGGTGCGACAAGAGGCTGTCCACAGGRAGGTGTGCTATCACCTCTACTATGGAGCCTTGTCGTGGACGAACTGTTAGCATTGCTAACYGACAATGGGATCCGCTGCCAAGGGTATGCGGACGACATTGTGATAATAGCAAGAGGCAAATTTGAGGAYACTCTCTGTGACCTAGTGCAACGAGGTCTAAATCTGGCAAAGGGGTGGTGCAGGGGAGTGAAACTAAATATTAACCCCTCAAAGACAACCGTAATCCCTTTAACAAGGCGCAGGTCCCTACCCGACTCGAGGAACCTCACACTTGGGGGTAGAGACATCGAGATGACTAGCAAGGTTAAATACTAGGGTCTTACGCTGGATTCTACCCTGCGGTGGAAGCAGCATGTGAACCAAACGCTAGTCAAAGTAACAAAAGCATTAATGGTGTGCAAACGGCTGGTGGGTAAACCCTGGGGCTGTAAGGCAAAGATCGTTAGGTGGTTGTACAGAGCTTGATAAGCTAGCCGACAGGGGTAATGCTCAAAAATTCTACGAAAAAATGCGACGGCTTACAGAAGGTTTCAAGACCGGAGCACACTCTTGTAGAACCCCCAAAGGTAATCTAGTCAGCGATGCCCAGAGCATACTTAAATTATGGAGGGAACATTTCTCCAGCCCGATTTCAAAATCGATGACGATGGAGCAGACGTTGCATTGCCCGATCATGAAGATGTTCGAATAGTAATTACCCGCCTGAAGCGGCGGAAGCCAATGAATTCCCGGCCTAGCTATTCAAACACGGCGGTGAAGAACTGATAAGGAGCATGCATCAGCTTCTTTGTAAAATATGGTCGGACGAAAGCATGCCCAACGATTGGAATTTAAGTGCGTTATGTCCAATCCACAAAAAAGGAGACCCCACAATCTGCGCCAATTACCGTGGGATTATCCTCCTCAACATCGCATATAGGTTCAACAAACTGATTGGAATTTATCGTGTGGCTTTAGACCTGGCAAATCAACAAACGACCAGATATTCATCATGCGCCAAATCTTGGAAAAAATTGGACAATGAGCGTGGCACCGCCCACACAGCGAGCCTTATATCAGAACTTACTTGACCGATATCGACCAAATATGGTATATATTACCTTGACGCCTACATCACATATAACACAATTTTAAACTTCATATGGATATATCGACAAATGTGTGAGATATTGTTATAAAATTGAGGGAGCAGGTTCTTTTAATAAAGGTGCATCTGCATACCAAAATTGGTTAAAATCTGGTTAAAACTTGCTCTAGATCCCATATAACTTTATGCATCTGAAGGGATTTGATATGGTCGGTCACACCCGAACTTGATTTCCTTACTTGTTTTAATTTAGTAATTGCAACGTGAAGTACTTTTATTTTTCTCAATGGTGTAGCCACACTCTATAATTGTCATAATACCGACGAAGCGCGAAACGTTTA